ATTACAGCCCCATTCAACCCCCACCTCTGCCCAGTGCATAGACCTTAGAACAATTAATATATTTACCATTTACCTATTGCTATCTTTTAAAAAATGTTGTCTAATGTGTAAAAATATGTGCCTGGAAAAAATGGTGGAGTGGATACCTGTTTTGTCCATGCCTAATGTGGTCCCTGTGAACACCATGTTGGAACAGAAATAGGATCCAAAAGATGCAAATAAAACCTAATAAACAGCTAACACCATGGTAGGTGAAAGACTACCTTATCAAGAATGGAAGTAATATAGGAAAAATATCATGAATACACAATTGAAAAACTATTCTCAGGAAAACAGGGTGGTGCATGCTTGTAATCCCAGCGACCCATTAGGCTGAGGCAGGTGTGTCACAAGTTCAAGGCCTGCCTCAACAATTTAGTGAGGCCCTAAGCAATTTATCAATACACTGTCTCAAACAAAAACCAGAAATGTCTGTGGATGTAGCTCCGTGGTTAAGCACCAGTGGGTTCCATCAATGCTACCAAAAGAAATTTTTTTCTCAAACTTTCTTCCACAAGGAAATTATAAAGATAGCCTTAGTTGTCAAATAGTTTTTTCACATAAGAATATGAATTATGACTATTTTGGCAAAATAAACTATTACTTACTATGATGTATGTCAATTGAGATTCAATTATTTCTAAAAAAGATGTATTTTATGGGATAAGTGAGAATTCTCAAATATTTCATATCCAAAGATAGGAATAATTTTGAGAAAGTTGGACAATGACAAATGGAGGGGATTTGAATTCATAGAGATCAGAAAGTGAAATAAAGTGACCAATTCAGTGGAATTGTATGCAGTAGATGAAATCAAAGAAATGATAACTCAGGAATAAATTAGAAGGAGCAAGTTCTGATAAAGAATCCCAGATTTCAGACCAAAAGCTCTGAGCCCTGCAATCATGAGTACTGCTCCAGTTTCAGTAGAATTGATGCTTTTATCTTTCTCTCTCATAGAGTCTTCTCAGAGCGCTCTTGATGTCCTTGTTCCTCAGACTGTAGATGAAGGGGTTCATCATGGGGGTGACCACAGTGTACATTACTGAAGCAGTTGCAATGGAGTGTGAGTTTGGGGTCACAGCAGAACTGAGGTACACACCTAGGCTTGTGCCATAAAATAAGGAGACCACAGAGAGGTGAGATGCACAGGTGGAGAAGGCTTTGTACTTGCCGTGAGCTGAAGATATTGCACGGATGGAGGACACTATCTTGCAGTAAGAGTAAAGGATGCCAGTGAGAGGGCCACCTCCCAGGAAGACAGCCGTAATATATATCACCAGGTCATTAAGGAAGGTGTCAGAGCACGCAAGCTGAATTACCTGATTAAGTTCACAGAAAAAATGTGGGATTTCCAATTCTGTGCAGAAGGACAGCTGCAACACCATTAAGCTTTGCAAAATTGCATGTAAAAAACTCCCAACCCAGGACACCAGAACTAGCATTACACAGAGCTGACGATTCATGATGACCATGTAGTGCAGGGGTTGGCAGATGGCCACATACCGGTCATAGGCCATTATAGTCAATAGAAAAATGTCTAACTCAGCAAAGATAACAAAAAAGTGAATCTGGGTGATGCAGCCTGCATAGGAAATTGCCTTACTCTGTGTCTGGATGTTCACCAGCATCTTGGGAATGGTGGTGGAGATGAAGCAGATGTCCACAAAGGACAGGTTGCAGAGGAAGAAGTACATGGGTGTGTGCAGGTGGGAGTCTGAGATGGTGGCCAGGATGATGAGCAGGTTCCCCAGCACAGTGACCAGGTACATGGAGAGGAAGAATCCGAAGATTAGGGGTTGCAGTTCTGGCTCCTCTTCCAGTCCCAGAAGAAGAAATTCTAAATGTAGAGTATCATTCCCTGGTTCCATATGCATGTGACTACCAGAGATGTGAAAAAGAGTATAACTAATTTTCCCTTAGAAAGGTATTAAATCATTGAGGTGAGACAATTCATATTTTACTGAAAAGAAACTAAATTTTACATATGGGTATGTAGCTCAGTGGAGGAGTGCTTATCTAACATGATCAAGGCCCAGGATTCCATCATTTTCCCCACAAAAAGGAAAAAAAACAATGGAATGGAAAGTAATTAACTTCTATAGAATGTACATGTGTCTGTCATGTCCCCATAAAGGATGCTGTGCCATCTCTGCTGATGAATTCCTCTTTCACTCCCAGGGTTTCACTCGGAAGTCATGTATTTCAGAATTCTAAACAGAAAATTAATAGAGCACCCCTCATGGGCACTCTGGTGGTTCCTGTAACTTGGATACAGTGAATAGTGCATCAGTAAACATGGAAGGACAGATATCTCCTACTACACACATTTCATTTCCTCTGACTATATTCCCAATATTGTGATTGCTGCATCATGTGATAACAGCATTTTAATTTTTATAGAACCTCCATACAAGATGGGTTCATTAATTTACATTCCAAAGAACTCTGGATAAGGAGTCACTGGCCCTTATTATCTTTGAACATTTTATAATAGACCTTTTAACTGGAATAACTTGTCTTTTTTCTGCCATGGCTCTCAGCACCAATCACCCTGCCAAGGCTCTGAGTGTGGAAAACACAGCTGAGATGATCAGTTCCCTACAGAATGTGGACAGGGCACCTGCAGAGTCCACTCAACACACTTTCCATGAACAAATGAGCAGACTCACTTAAGAATGCTGCTCCTCTTCCCTGTGTTTAAAAAGGAGCATGAAAATCTGTGCAGTCAACAGAGGGAGGAAGAGAAATAGAGAAGATGGGGAGAGAGAGAGAAGGAGAGAGAAGGCAAAGGGGTGGATGGAACATGAAGAGGTGAGGGCAGAGAGAGAGCGACCTGACTTGGACCCAGGGGAGCAGGACCTTGCAAGCCCAGGTGTCTCTTCTCCAGGAGGAAAAGGCTGCCTTGGTCCTGGCAGCGTTCCAAACCCTGTGACCCTCGCTGGGTTCTCAGCACAAAACATAACAATAAAAGTATGTTTTCCAAAAGACCAAAGTTGTGACTCTTTTTTGACCTAGTTTTTAAGCGTTTTATTATTGCTTTGCAGTGATACATAAGTTTGGGGCTATTTTTTGAAAGTATTTTTTTTTATCTGTGGGTAGACACAATACCTGTATTCTATTTACTTATTTTTTTTTGTGGTGGTGAGGATCCTATACCTTTCCCCACATATGCTAGGCAAGCGCTCTGCCCCTGAGCCCCAGCCCCAGCCCTGTTGGGTTCATTGTGACACAATCTCACATGCAGGGAATCTGTTTTGCTCCCCTTCAGTCCCCAGTACTTTCCCTCCTTCCCCTCCTCCCTCCCACTCTTCCTCTGCCTCATGTCAAGGCGTTTGACAGTTCATACACGTCAGAAAAAATGACCAAAGGTCAAAAATCAACAATTGACAACAGGAGATATCCAAAGTACATACATCAAAATGGGGAACTTTTAGTAGGAAACAGCAGATCTGTCTTCCCTGTGGCTGTTTTTTTCACCTGATGATTGACTTTCCCCTAGATTCTCAGCAGATACAGCAGGGCTCCTAGATTCTCAGCAGATACAGCAGGGCTTGTTCTCCCTGTTTTAAAATTCTCATAGCATCATTGTGCCTGTTCACTGAGTCTATAGGTGATAATCCACTATATGTGAGTGCTGTGCCATGATCAAATCAGGATAAGGAGCTTTCAATCTCCTTTCCTTTATCAATGACTAGTTCGTTGATTCCATATTTTTTTTGTATGTGACATCAATTCCTGGTTGATCTTGTTTTTTTTTTAATTTTCTTTAAGTGTTATTTTATTATACACCTAATAACTGTATAGGTTCATTGGGTATATTGTGATGTTTTGATACATGAATATATTCTATATTGATCAGATCAGGGTACTAGAAATAAAATGTAAAATAAATTGCTAGACAATTAGAAATAAAAGATTGGGAAGTCAGACATAATGTTATGATTTATATAAAGAAAAATAAATTCAAATTTACTTGTGGACGATGGACATGATCTTTAGTGAAATGATGAGGAGAAACACCTTCCAACAGCTGGCCAAAGGTGACAAGACTCCTGTGGTTACACCTGTGTCAAAGTGAGGAAATCAAGAGGCACAGAGACATAAGAGAGAGATGAAAATAATTTGGAAATATGTAGAAAAGTTGACTTATTAGTGAAGAAGAAATTTCACTGGCATTTTCAATAAAGTGGGGATTCACAAGAGAAGAAATATCACATTGTTGAGGCAGATCCTTCAGAATGAAAAGCCCTGGTAGGAGCCCAATAACAAACACTCGTCTGTTGGAAGATATTAAAGCCTCTAGACTTTCAGACACTCTCCACAGATACGTCTCCACATCGGTGCTGTTCTCATGGAAAAGGAACAAGTACAACATCAAAATCAGTGAAAAACATTCTGTTTGAAAGAATAAAATGCCAAAATAAAAGAGAAAGAAAAAATGGGAAGGAACACCCTCCAACTGAAAGCAAAGAGTTTTAAAAATCTGAAATAGAGAAGTCTAAATCACTCCAATGCACTTACTTGAAGGCTATGAAATAATTATAATATAAAACTCTTTAGCGTACCTATTTTTCACCAATTAAGTAAATTTATTTTTCATGTGGATAATACCAAGAGAGGAAGAAGATTCAGTGATATATCTATATTAAGAAATTCTGATGCAGAGGTTTTTTTTTATAAAAAAAATCCTAAAACTGGATCTTTCTCACAAATATTAAAAATGTGCTGAAATATGCTCCATTGTAATTTTTTTAAAAGGATCTTCCCCCAGTGTACATCCCTCTGCTGTTCATTCTGGATTGATCTTTTCCCCTTCCTTGCAAAGGTTCTCAGGCTTACATTTACTTTGATTTGAACCTTCACACCACTCATCCAGCTTCTAAATGAGATTCTGTAACCGTAAGTTCATGGTCAACAATGCCCCCGTGTTGCTGATTTCTGGACACTTTTAGTATCTTATAAATCCATTAATAAATTAATTAAGCTAGCAAAGGACACCACCATGTCTGGGCTGCAGGAAAGGCTAGTTGGGCTCTCAGGGAACCTCAGGTAAAAGCTCTGGCTTCTATTCTCTTCAGTCCTCTCCTGCAGTGTTTGCTGTGTTCTTAGACTCACCTTGGTGGCATCTCTGGTGGGAACGTCGTCATGAACATGCACCAGTTTTTCCCTGGATGTTGAAGGTGCAGAGCGAGGCTCTGACCCCTGAAAAGAGAACAGAAATGGGTCCAGCTTTGGTTCTTAAGTCAGATTTGAAGACTTTGAAGAATGAAATAAGTCCCAGGGGCCTGCACTCAGAGCAGGAGCAATCACAGCCTACAGCTTTCTCTGTCTTCTCACTAAGCACATGTCCTTCTTTATTCTGCAACCACTAAGCACCTGAATTCCCTGCAGGAATCTGGACTATAATCAGGAAAGGAAGAGTTTGCATAGATTCCCCTGAGAGCAGAGTAAAGTCAGGTGCATATTACCACCAATCTACAGGCCCCATCTTCCCAAAATGCAGACCTCCTACCACCATACCCCTCCTGTGAGTTATACTTTTTTTCCACATGTGAAACTAAGAAACCTGCCCCGGTTAGTTATCTTATGTCCTCAAAACCCTGACTCATAATGGGTACACAGTCTCTGGTGTTTCCAGAAATTTTTTCTATCCCTCTTTAACAGAGGAGTGAGCTCTGTTTTGTATAAAATGTGAATCCATAAGACAACACCTCACGCTTTGCCAACAATACCTGCAATGTCATGCACCTGATAAACTCACATATTTTTAAATAGGGATCAAATGATGGCTCTTACTTTAGGATGTGAGTATGATTTTGAAGAGATAAGAATCTCTTCAGGCTCCAAGACTTGAGCTCCCTTCTCATTTCATGCTCATTCACAGTTGGCTCTTTTCATATCTATTCTCTCATATTTCAAAATGAAATGTGAATTTGTATGTACTTGCAGATTTGTGTGGGTGGAACACTCAACTCTTAAGAAAATTATAGATCCACAGGCACACATATCTTATTCACACCTGGTAGCATGACCACTTTCTGTGGACCCACAAAGTATTTCCACAAACTTCATTTATTCCTCACAACATTGTTCTATCATCATGCTTGTTTCCCCAGTTTAATTTCAGAATAAAGGACATTGGGGGGGGGTGTTAACTTTCTTGATATTAAATTAATGATGTAATTTTGATACCACATATTTTAGGGCATTATGTGATGTTTCCATATTTTTATATACTGGGTCAAGTTGAGCATATTTACCTCCTCAAGATTTATCATTTCTTTGTGGTGAACACACTCCAGACTGGTAGAAAAAAGGAAAGTGAAATAGGAGAAGGAGAAGGAAGGGAAAGTAGAGGTACTGGGGTTAAGTTGGAGCCAATTGTATTCCATGCTTTATTATTATGGCAAAATGAATCCCAAATTTATGTATAATCATAAAGCACTAATTGCAAAGAATATTGGATTCCATCATTTTTGAAATATGCAAGAACTTATCATGACCGTACTTTGCGACAGAACAGCAGAACCAATTCCACATACTTGACTACAACATAGTATCCTGGGGCAAACCTTCTTCTATCCTCCTGCTCCCTTACCCTTTCCAGCCTCTGGGAACTAGAATTCTGCTCTGAGCTCCTGTGAGAGCAACTTCTGTGCCTTCTACATGTGAGTGAGGTCCTGCCGTACTTGTCTCTCTGTGCCTGGCTTATTTACCGGCACACAGTGACCTCAGGTTCTCCCATAGGATCAAGGTTGCCAATTTTATAACAATTATATTTAAAAACAGTCAACCATTAGTGAACACTTCTTCAGTTGAGCACATGAGGGGAACTGGTCATAGTAACGTTTTCTATCTTTTTTATGAA